TTTGCAAGTCGGGCGTGGATCATTTTAAGAATTTCTTCAATGATCATTTTAGTACATCTACTTTAATTAATGAACATATTATCCCTCATATTATCACTGACATGGATAATGCTATTCTTTGTACTCTCCCGTTGGAGGAGGAAATTCATAATGCTGCTATGGATTTAAATGGTGATTCTATTGCTGGTCCGGATGGCTATACTACCAAATTTTTTCAAAATTGTTGGGAGATTGTCAATGCTGATATTATCGAAGCTGTGATTGAGTTTTTTAAAGGGTCTCCCTACCCGAAATTCTTCACTTCTACTAATATTGTTCTTATCCCTAAAATTGCTGGGGCTAACAAATGGAATGATTTTCGTCCCATTAGTCTTTGTTCTTTCTTTAATAAGCTCATTTCTAAAATCTTTTCTAAAAGATTGGAAAGCATCTTGCCTCGTATTATTTCTAGTAACCAAACCAGTTTTGTTAAAGGTAGGAGTATTTTTTATAATGTTTTGTTGACTCAAGAACTGGCTCATGAAATTAATACCAAGGTTAAAGGAGGTAATATCATTTTGAAACTGGATATTTCTGAAGCTTGCGACAATCTCAACTGGAAATTTCTTTACAATGTGCTTTGTTTATTTTGTTTTAGTGATTTTTTCATTAAGCTTATTCAGAATAGTATTGAAAATTGCTTTTTCTCTGTTATCATTAATGGTAGAAAATATGGTTTTTTCAAGTCCTCTAAAGTTTCAAGACAAGGGGATAATATTTCCCCTGCTCTTTTCATTATTGCTATGGAATATCTTTCTAGGGGTATTGAAGATTTATATTTGAGAAATCCTAAATTCTTTTTTTGGACTATGAAAGGAATCCCTATTTCTCACCTTAGCTTTGCTGATGATTTCATTCTCTTTTCTAATGGGTCTATAAATAATATTAAAGTCTTGAGTAATTTTTTGCTTCAGTTTCATGCTTATAGTGGTTTAGCTATTAGCAAGAATAAGAGCAGCTTTATTGCTAGTAAGTCTATCAACAGAGATAGAATCTTGGCTATTCAAAGAATTTGTGGCTTTCAACATAAAACTTTACCCATTAAATATTTGGGTACTCCTATTTACAAAGGAAAAAAGAGAAGTCACCTTTTTGAAGATATTTTTACTGGCGTCCAAAAGAAATTAAATCACTGGTCCTTTATTTTTTTGTCGTTTTGTGGTAGATTAACTCGTATTAAATCTGTGTTGAATTTTACTCATATTTACTTACTTCACACTCTTCAACCTTCTGCTGCTATTTGTCTTAGAATTGAAAGATTAATCAATAAATTCTTTTGGGGATCTAAATTTAATATTAACGGTATGCGTTGGGCTTCTTGGAACAAACTTTATGGTATCTACAAAGAAGGGGGTTTAGGTTGCAAAAATCTTTCAGACATGGTTCAAGCTTTCTATCATAAGTTGTGGTTTTCTCTTAGATCTAACGAAAGTTTATGGGCCCATTTTATGAATACTAAATATTGCAAAGACACTCACCCTCTTCTTGCTTTTTATAAATCCTTTGATTCCTTGATCTGGAAAAGGTTGTGCAAAATTAAGTGTCAAGCGGAGCAATTTATTCAGTGGGGTGGATACTCTTATTCAAAAAAAGGATTTAGCTTTCCTTCTAAATGCCATTGCTGTTCTGATATTGAAAACGTGAATCATCTTTTTGTTAACGGGGCTATTGCTAAAAAGGTTTGGCATCACTTTAGTAATTTAGCTAATTTAAATCATATGGATAATTACAATGATCTTCATTCTCTTTTGAAAGCGTGGATGATAAATAATAGAGGTCACATTTTAAACTTGATTGTGATTCGTATCCTTTGGTATATTTGGAAAGCTAGAAATGAAGCCAAACATATTGATATCAATATGGATGCTTCTCTTATTATTGAGAACATCAATCACAAAATTAGGCAATTAGCTTATTGTAATCTTATTACTGTTAAAAATTGTAGAAACTTTAAAAAGCTGTCTAATTTTTTTGATATTCAAATGGCTGATAACTGTAACAAGTTTGTCTCCAGATTTGTTATTTGGAGAAAACCTTCTCTCCCATTTGTGAAATTAAACTCGGACGGTTCAGTTAAACATAATATAGCTGGCGCTGGAGGTATTATTAGAGACAATCAAGGGATGGTTTTAGCTGCTTTTGCTTCTCCTTTATTACCGTCTTCTGTTATTACTGTCGAACTCTTTGCTCTTAGTTTGGGCATTGAAAATTGCATTAATTTGGGTTTTTTAAATGTCTGGATTGAGGTGGATGCGCATATTGTGATTCAAATTGTCAATAATCTTGTTCAGGGGAATCCTCAAGATTTCTATTTGATTAAAAAAATTAAACAGAATCTCTCTACTATTAATTTCACTATATCTCATGTCTATCGTGAAGCCAACGCCTGTGCCGACTGGTTGGCTAATTTTGGCTGTCAGCTTGAGAGTTTTCAAAACTTGGATATCTATAATTTGAATCATTTTTTGAAAGGATTAATTACTCTTGATAAGACTGCTCTCCCTTATATTAGACATGCTTAATCTTTTTTATTTTTTTCTTATGTTATTGTTAAATTTTCTCTATTATAGTATACTGGGTATTTTTGGCTACTTTCAGATCCAGTTTGTTATTAACTGCTCTTTTCCTTACTTTAACTGGTCTTGGTCTACGTTGAAAGGTGTTTGTTGCCTGCTTAATAATTCTGTTCAGTTGGTTATTAGGTATATTTATATTAACTTTATTTGTTCTAAGAGGAATGGTCTTTACAATTTCGATCTTCGCTGTGGGATTCAATATTATGCCAGGGCTTCTATAAGGTGTTTAATCTACTACTGGGATCATAATGGTAACTGGCATTTCTATGTGGATGTTTACTGTTATTCTCCTATTAGTCATGATGGTATTACTCTTGTTAGACGTTTTATTAATGTCCTGAAGCAGATACCTCACTTGAATTTTTTCTCCGGATGCTGCAACTCGAGAGTTATTACCTCTATTGTTATTACCTCTAGTGTCATTGTCCTGTGTTTAACTGGTGATGGCCTTCCCTTATTTGGTTTGGGTTGCAAAGGTCCCAGCATCTTATTATTGTGGGACTTCCCTTCTGCTATGCTTTATATGGCTTTCAATTGTTATACTTGTTCTATAAAGCTAGTGGGGGTGTTACTTGACTGGGTCTATTTTATTTATAGTTGCTGCCTTCATAATTCCTTACTTTGTAGCACGAGGTGGTGGACTGTTTCTCGATTCTATTTTTTGAGGAGATACAAGGATGGCAAGGTTTGTCTATTTTCTTGGTTGCATTTCCTTCTCTTTTTTCCTTTGTTATTTTGCAGGAAGTTTGAGCTGGACGTGATCAAGTGGATCTTCCTTTTTTGGGTGCTGATGTTTCTCAGCCCGAGCCTTTTACCTTATTATTTTTGTAATAGTAGAACAAGGAACCACCGGCTTCTAGATTTTTTTCTTTATATTTTGACTGTAACTCCTTGGAGCAGTAGCGAGCTGTTGGATCCTTTTAAGGATTTTGTAACCGACTTTTGAAATTAACACGTAGGCCCCTCCGTGGGTTTAACCTTTAAAAAAAAGAAACCCATTTCATACCTTTATTTTAGTCAAAGAAAGGTTTGTATGTATGATATGGTGCAAGCAAATCTTTTTAGATAGGCTCTTAATTAGAGTAAATTTATTTCTATAAAATTAACTAAGAAAATAAAGACACAGGCATGTTTCATTTATAACCTCTAGTATATTAATAAATATTAGGAAGTACAGTTTTCTTGGGATACTTATCAATCTTGATTTTTTATTTGACTTGACTTGACTTTAATAACGTGACTTTATATGACTATTTTACGTAGACTAAGATAAGATTTATTTTTCCAACCTTACTAAACCTCTTCTCTTATCTCTTGTTTTAAAATCTTCGATACAAGATGAAAATCTTCATATCATCATCCCTTTTCTCAACTATAACTATTTATCACCCTTTTAATTTGGGTATAAAGTTTAAAAGATAAGGTGATGAAGCTCTTGAACCCAAAATAGATCAAATATTATGTTTTTGCATGGTATAAATTTGATTAAAATTTTGATTATGTTAGAAAATTATTGGTTAATAATGAACTGTTACGACTTTTTCAATGCCAAACAAGGTAGGTCTTTAATGGTTTATGTTGTGTGTGTCTAACTAGGAAAATTAAATTCTAAAAGTCTTTATGTTTTAGCTGACAATGTGAAGCATTATGATGAACATTTAATTAGTGACAGCAAACTAACCATTTAAATAATTTTGAAAATATTTGCTACTTTCTAGGCAAAAATTAAATTTTTAGTCAACCGCTAAGTTAATCGTGAGTCATAAACCATTTTTGGTGGCTCATAGTTTTTTTCTATTTTTTAAATATGTAAATATTTTTATTTAATTTAGGCTATTTTTAAGTTGACTGGTAATTGATTAGGTTGATTTGAGGTAATTGGTGTTTGCTTAGGCATATTTAGAATTTTTTGGTGGTAAATTGGGATTATTTGTTTTAGTGAGCATATTTTGTTACCCACTTCATTTCGATTTGTAGGAAAATTACTAACAATGTTTTTGGAGACATCCCATAACCGTTACCCACTTCATTTAATTAGTGAGCAATTAAATTGATATTGGCAGAGAGAAAAAAAAAAGTAGAAATGTTTTTTGTTTTCTAAATTCAAATAATTTTTTTTTTTTGTTTCATTTAGACGCAAATTGTGAACTTTTTTTAATCATTTAACATTTTTCCCTTGAAAAATCTCAATTACATGACTTTGATTTTATAACTTCTAAGAAGAGAGCTAAATTTTCAACAACGGCAGGAAATCAATAAAAAAAAACTACATGCATAGGCTTATTGCTTTTTTACAAAGTTTTTTTTTTTTCAAATATAAAAAATAAATATTGTTTACATACTTAAATCAAATATTTATGACGCAAACACCTTCAACCAACTAAATTAGTTAGAGAAAGGCGGCAATCCAACCTTAGCTAACTTCTCCAAGATTATCTTCAACTTTCCCATCTCCCCCTCCACCACTTCTCCTCTTCTCTCCGTAATCCTATTTATCATCTCGACCACCCCCTCCAGCTCCTCCCTCACCCTCTCATTCTCTTCCCTCGCCTCCCTCAACCTTCTCTTCCCCGTCTTATACCGATCCAGTGCCTTTAAAAGCTTCTCCGATAACTCTCTATTCTTCTCCTTCAGTTCCTCCACCTCCATTCCACCACCACTACCCCCAACTTTGCACCATTCCATCACCTTCTCAGACAACTTATTGTTATGAGCTGTCAAGTCATTCACATGCTCCTCCATCCAACTAAGCTCTTGAACTTTACGAGCCAATTCATTTGCAATCATCTCCTTCTCACGCCCAAGACTAGAGAACATCCTTTCGAGGCTTTTACGGGCGGTTAAGCTCGCCGAGAGCTCGCGTCGGAGCTTCTGGTTTTCTTCGTAAAGTTCTTGTTTTGAACTGCGGGGAGAGAGGATGTCTTCGAGGATGCTGAGAATTCTTTCGAGGCGGTTGGTTGTATGACTGCTGTCTTCTTGTTTTGAGTCTTTGAGCTCTTGGAGGAGTTTGACGATTTGCTTGATGTTCATTGAGATACCTGAAAGTTAAATTTATATTAGGATTGAGTTTAATTTAATAGCATATGTACTTAATTTCAGATGATGTCTAAAAGATAATAAATTTAAAAAATTTACAAATAAATTTTTTAGATAAGCATGAAAAAATTGCTTATGAGAATCAGCAAGGCTACAAAAAATAGGGAAACAACTGCACATTTAATGAAATTATGTTATTTTAATTGAGAGATAAATTAAAATAATGATCATGAAGATATTTGATGAAAAAGTTTGACAGAACAACAAAATATTTACATCTATAAATAAAACCCTTTTTTTTCTTTGGGTGATTTGAATTAATTGAAGCAACTAAAAGATGGAGATTCAACATCATAATTTAAAAGTTTTCTAATTTAAAAAAAAAATCATTAAAAAAAATTAGTGCTGGCATGGAAACTCATTGAAATGAAAAGAAATTTAATATATATATATATTATATGATTGTAAAATTTTCAGTCAATATTAAAAATGATAATAATAATAATAACAACATAACAACTTTATCAAATCTATCTATTCTTAGGCTAAAAATCTTTAGCTGAGGAAAAATTAGAAAATTTATTGAATCGAACATATTACATCATATTTTCATGCATCTCTTTCTTCTTTTTCTAAGTTGGATGATGATCTGAAAAAGTTTTTTAAAAGAATAAATAGCTACAAAAGTGATATATTCAAATAAATATTGCATTTGAATGCTCAATTTTTTTTCATTCAAAAAGTTCTTTTCAGGCACTCTGAAAAACGTCAAAATATGTAAAGCAATTTTTAAAAAAAAATAAACAACAACGTTCAAATATGATCAACATTACGAATCTTCATATTTTATTTATTTTTAATGAACATTTTCAAAATTTTTTCAACCGCATATATTAAAATTATTCAGTCATTTGTCCTTCCTAACAAACAATCAAATCACACATAAATAAGAAAATCACCTTCAAGGCTATTAGAATCGTCACTTTGAACCAATTCCTCCTTTGAATTCCGAGTTAGCAACTCAGGCAAGGAAACAGGGCGAGGCCTATTCATTTTGCTCTTTCCTTTCTGCTCATTCGGAGAGCATGATTGAGGCATTGCCGAGGAAGAGGAAGAAGAAGAAGAAGATTGATAACTCTGACATGGAGTTTTATTTAGTTGGAATGGATTCATGGAAGACATAATTGCAGAGTTAGAGATAGCGAGAGATTAAAAGATATTAAATCTTAAGAGGAAGAATAGTGAGAGGAAGGATCTCTGCCTCCTCTCTCCTCTTCGTCGCTTTTCTTCTCTTCTCTTCTGTTTCGTTCAAGGTATACCTCTCTTCTCAGTATATAACGTTAAGTTGTTTGTTAATATTGAGCGTTATTTTGGGCTTGTTCTTGTGCTATATTTAGCTGATATGTTGTGGATGATGGAGAGAAAATAAGGGAGAATTTATGGTCTATGTTCTTTTTTATTTTGAGTAAGAAACTTGAGGCTCATGTATTTCGCCGTAATATTTACATAGATATATACTATAAATCTCCCAACAAGTTTTTATTTTGAATTCATGGCTATCATTGATTTAGTTGGCTTCAAATTGGCTTAAAATTGAATAGACTAAAAGTGAAATCAAATTGTATGTATATGTCCAAATATTTTGCTTTAAGAACAAAATAAAATTCTCGTTCACTTCAAATTCATCAAGTTTCTTTCGGCACAAATACTAAATCATAAATCCTAATTTAAATTTTAAAATCTTATTAAATAAACACATTCTAAAGCATTATCTGAACAAATTATGAAATGATTAAAATTACAGAAACATTGTGTAATTAAGATAAATGGATTTTTTATTCAGGAAGAATTTTACTTCGTAATTAGTTTTATTTTCCGATTATGATAAAGGTAATTTAAAATGCTATTTGTCCAAAATGGTTAAAGCAAACTCTTTAATAAATATTCTATTTTTAGTTGAACAATTTTTTTGTTTTAAAATTGAACAATTGACTGCAATATAAATAGCTAACTCAACCGATCCATCATAAGCACATTAATATCATTTATAGATCTGAGTTTTTAAAAAAGTAAAATAAATTGGCGAGAATAATTCTAAAATAATTTATCATCACCCATTGATACAGGAACAAAGCAAGGATCATTATCGAATATATTTTTATTGTAATTATATATTTCTAAAAAAAAAATTATAAATAAATGAATCAAGAAATAGTGAAGTGTAGCAGCACAGCAATTTCGAGAAATCGTAAGAGCCTAGAAGAAAATCACATTTTAACTAAAATTAAAACAAGCCTAATGGGCAACACTTTACATGTGAATACTACTAAAAACATTTGAATTTTGTAGCAGTTTATAGCGGTGGTGTAAAAATCGCTACTATAATCCGTTTATGGCAACGGTTTGAACCATAGCTTTTGGCAAAGATTTTAACTGCTGATACTGTCAACAAAATCAAATATGATATCTTCCCAAATTCCTCTCCCCTTCATCCCGACCCCAATCGATCCTTGTTTTGTGCGATTCGCTACCTACTCTCCCCAGACTGAATGCTCACCCGTCCATGCCACGGTGCCCACAACCCATCTACAATTCTCCTCCTCATCTCCCCAGATCGAGCATCGAGAGGCCACTGCATCTACCACCCACAAAGTCAATCTGCCACCTTTCAAGTTGCTCAAGTGCCAACGATTCTTCATAAATCCTAGTTGTACTGTTATTGTCTTAAGGAAAAGAGAATATTACATTGATATTTTTGCGGGCTAGAATAAACGCGGCGATAGAGTTAAAAAGTTTTCGTCTCAGTGTTGTACGGATATCCAACACACAAACATAAGAAAAATAAATACACAAGAATTTTTACATGGAAAACCCTTGAGAGGGGGAAAAACTATGGGGCCTAGCCTAGTTTGAACGAATTCACTAGTATTTGCTTGAGATATAAGAGGCTGACTCGTCCTTAAAATTTAGGACGATCATATTACAATGACTTGTGGATTGAAATCCAGTTACAAACAAGTTGTGTATTTGAATTGAATTCAGAGTCACTTGGAGATTAGAGAGAATTTCGGTTTTACTTGGAGATCGGGCAGAGTTCCGGCGTCACTAGCAAGTCGGGCGGAACTCCGGCATCACTTAGAAGTCGGGCAGAATTCCAGCATCACTTGGAAGTCGGACAAAATTCTGGCGTCACTTGGAAGTCAAGCAAAATTCCGGCATCGCTTGGAAGTCGGGCAGAATTCTAGCGCCACTTCAATGTCAGGCAGAACACCGGTGGTGGTCGAGGAGGAGTTTCTTTCATCATTCCATTCTTCTCTTCTCTTCTCCTTCTTCTCTTCTTCTTGCTTGACTACCCACTTAAGAGAAATGAGGGGCAATTAATAGTTTTTTTGAGGATGGCATGACCCGTGAATAGGACGAGGATCAAGGGCAAATGTGGAGTGGGTTGGACGGATGGCCGATATTGAATCCGTTGATTGTGGACCATTTGCCAAACATTTGAAGGTCTTAATGAAATAAAAATTTGACAATCTTGGGCTCGTTAAATTCGTATAGTTTAGCCGCTCAATTTGATTATAAGTATGTCATGTTTGGGAATCATTTGGCAATCCAAATTGTGGTTTGAACCTTCCAATAGTGCTTCGGGTCTTTGATTCGGACTCATTTGGGCTCGGAATAAGTTGAATTTGGTGTCGTTAGCTTTGTATTTTTGAGACGTTCAGTTCTACTATAAGTTTGCAAAAATCGGAGTTCAGATGATCCAAAATTTAATTTTTAAAGTTTCTGGCTTGATTTATGCCTCGAGATTTGTGTCCGATCAAGATAATTTTTTAATAATATATTAGTTGCTCCCTATTTTCAAACGCCGAAGCTCTAGAAGTCTGAAAATACTTATTTCGATATTTTTTATTGGTCGAATCGCAAAAAATTATGTTCTAAAAATTAAAAAAACTTGTTCAAACTTGAACATAAAAGTCTCGTTGAGCTTCGAAAATGTCAAAATTGAGTCTGGAATGTCGAAAAAAATGTCCGGGGACCCGAAAAATGTCCGATTTGGACCGTCCAGGTCAAAAATCGTGCCCGGACAAGCGTAGGCGGTCGAACCAGCCGCCGGCCGTCGCCCACCGCCGCCGCTGACACATGCATTATGCACGAACAGGCGCGCCACGAAGGGGCGAGCAGTTAGAGCCGACAGTTTTAATTTTTTTAATTCAAAAAATTCTAAAATAATTCCAAAATATTCCAAAAAAAATTCCAAAAAATTCTAGAAAATTCCATAATATTCTTGAAGCTTATCTTCTTCCAAAATATACTATAAATATCCCCTTGGACTAAGAGGGAAATTGCTCCATCTTTCTTCTCATTTTGACTTTCTTACAGTAAAGGCATTCTTCTGTATTATGTAGGTGACTTTCCCTACTTAAATAAGTGTCCCTCCTCTTATATAAAAGTTAGAATCTCCTCTTCTTTCTCCCCTATTTTTTTTCTTTTTTGACTTTGTTACAGTTTAGGCTTTCCAATATTTTTTCATGGGTGACTTTCCCAATGCAAAATCAGTTTCCTCTCTTCTCGTATAGAAGTTAGAATTTTTATAGCATTTCCTTTCCTTTCTCCCCCATCTTCTTTTTGCTATAGATCTAGATGACTTCCATTATTTTTTATAGGTGATTTTCCTACTCAAATTTGTACCCATCTTCTTGTGTAAAAGTTAGACTTTTTGTCGCCGTTTCTTTTCTTTCTCCTCCCTCATTCTAACTTTCTAATATTAGAGGCATTCCTTTATTTTTTATAGGTGACTTTTCCTATGTAAAATTAGTGTTCATCTTCTTGTGTAAAAGTTAAAATTTTTGCAACTGTTCATTTTCTTCTTCTATAGTCTTCTTCTTATATTGGAGGCATTCCATTATCGGAGATAGGTGTCATTCCCCTATCAAGCTTCAGTGCTTCTCTCTTGTGTAGAAGAAGTTATGATGAGAGACTATCTTCTTAATAGATAACCTTTAATAGAAAAATATCAATTGCTGCTTCTATATGAGGATGATTTGAGAAAACCTGACAGTAATAATACTCGGGAGGAGAGCCATAAGTTATTAATAGACGGTGAGAATTTTGATATTGTTCGAGCGAAAGTCTATCGATGATGGACGATTGAGTTGAAGCCCATTGGCAATCAACTATCGAGTGTACAACTAAAGGAGAGAGTTGAGAGTGTGCTACTATCAGTAGTTGATCAAGAAGCTGATGATGGCATATATAAAGTGAAGGACTGTCGGCATGCATTAAATGAAGTGCCAATGATGATGAGTGTTCAATGGTATTTTGCAAAGGCAATATTCATCCATACAAAAATGTGCCGACATCATATATCCTTATATGGATGATGTAAATATACTTTTTTAATTTCAACTTCTAATAAGAATAGATATATACTTGAATCTTGATGTTGGATTTATGTAACTCCATTGTATATGAAATTAATAATTTGTCCCTGAGAGGAAATTGAATTGTTTATACATCTTTGAGATATACTTTGATATATTGTCCCCCATATTTTTTGAGGCACTGTTAGATTGTTAAGCTCTTTATATGAGTGATGATTTTATCAACCACTTTCTTTCATGGGATCTTTATAGAGAGAATGTTATTCACTTAGATCTTTCCTTGATGATGTTGACCTCTATCGAAGAGGCCTAGAGAATTCATTAAAGATATAAGACTTATTCGAAGTTATATGTTAGAGCACTACTCGATGATATTAACCTATGTGGAAGAAGTCGAGAGAATCCACCAAGGATGTAAGACCTATTTGAGGTTGTATGTCAGAGCACTACTCGATGATATTAACCTGTGTGGAAAAGGTTGAGAGAATCTACCAAGAATGTAAGACCTAACTGAGGTGGTATGTTAAATTACTGCTTAATGACGTTAACCTATATGAAAGAGATCAAGAGAATCCACCAAAGATGTAAGACCTATCCAAGGTTATATGTCAGAGCACTACTCGATGACGTTAACCTGTGTGGATGAGGTCGAGATAATCCATCAAGGATGTAAGTTATATCCAAAGTTGTTGTCAGAGTACTGCTCGATGAGGTTAA